CCTTGTGGGTGTGTGATTATTTATTTATTTATTTATTTATTTATTTTTCCCAAATCGTCCTACAAGGATCTGAAAGCTGAGTGAATTTCTCTGCCTGCTTAGAAAGACTGAGGCCAGCATGGGCACAACTCTACTGAAGCAAATACTTGTCCATAAACTTATTCTGAAATGCAGTTGGATGATCTCCTGTCTTTTTCTCGGTCCCGCCTTCTAACCTTTCTAATCTTGAGAGTTCATCTCTATTATATGTGGCTCGTACAAATACCCATGATTAATAACTGCTGTGATTCATTAGCCTGCGTTGTTGGTATTGTTTCCCCAATGGGAGCATTTGCTGTCTAGGGATAGCCCGTGATTACTCTGCCTTATGGAACAGTAAGATGCTTTCAATCTAATGCGTTGTCCATGTTTTAGCATAAAATAATATTAAGGCATCCACATAATGGAACCGTCTGAAGATCCATTTTATTAAGCACTGGAAGAAAATGTGCGTGTGTGTGTTTGCATGTGCAAGGGAAATATAATCAGCAAATCTATTTCACCAGAAGCATAATTTCCATGAGGGTTTCGTGTAAAGTTCTTCGGATGTGGGGATGAAAAAATACTCTCTAGCCAATATCTTACCTGGTACAATTAACTTACTCAAATTGTATATGGCCTATTCAAAGAAGGAAAAATAGGGAACAGAGGTAGGTTTATTGTATTTATTCCATTTTGTGGGTATTTATTTTAAATGCAATCTACCTTCAAGTACAAAGCTGTACTGCTCTTAAAAGATTACTCTTTCAAGTTACTTCACATACCTTAACAGAGCATGTAACCTTTTTACATTATATGATCAACTTTTTGACAGTGCAGGGCTAGCACAGCTAATGGAATAATAGCCTGCAGGGTCCAGCTAAATGATATACGAATATAATCAACCTTTGTGATGACTATTCAAAAGTAATCCCTTTAGCTTTCAACTGCAACATATATTTCAGCCAGGCAAAGCCATATGAAGAAAATCTCTGCAGACTCCACTGATACAATATGGCCTTCATATCCCCACAGTGTGTTTGCTGCTCTCAGTGAGTTTTAAATTTAAGGTAATGGCTACTGTATATTCATGTGAGCATAGAACAATACCTTTGATTTGTTGGAGAAATGTTACATTAGCTACCAAGGGCCCTATTCAGTAAACTTTGACACAACCCTTATATATGGTTTACTGCTTGTTCTAAATGGAATATGCCTGATAAAAATGCTTTGCGTGCCCAAATTGTACAAATTCATTAATCTTTATATTCATAAAACCTCCAAGTACAACTGCCTCCATTCCAAGTGAACCTAGTCAGGATACATGGTTAAACAGGTTGGCCCAACCTGTTTTTAAAAACGGAATGCATCAATTTTCATTTATCAAGACAGAAAAAAAGTAGGAAGATTGCCTACAAGTGTGGGATGTGCATGTTGTTGGCAGTAATATTATTTTATGCTCTATCTTTGTTCCTACTCCATCATTCTACAGATTACATAACTGAAAACAGCTGCATGACCTTTAAAAATGCAAGTAATTTTAAAATTACAGTAATGAGTTATATCTCACCAGCTGCATTGCACCAACATGATTATATTTTGAGATAGTCTTACTTTCTCTTCCTTTTGTGGCAAAGACGCAGTATTGTCTAATAGTAGATCTGAATATGTGGAAATAATTCTGTCAGAGGAAAATATATATAATGAAAACACTGTGTTGCCTTGTATTGCTACTTTTGTATGTACAATACAGCAAGAGTTCACTCCCATTAACAAGAGTTGCAGATGTGGCCTTGTCTGTGTGTGTGCACCTGAAAAGATGTAAAAACATTACAGCACTGTTATCATATTTTGTTTGAGGTGTTGTGTTGTGAGATTACATGCCACTTAAATACGTTGGCTATCATGCAAGAGTAGGAGAGGCTACAGGCTTTTCTCCGATTTGTTTGCCATGTCACTTCTTGAGCCAGTACAAAACTTGTGCATCCTCAGCATCCTGCAGCAGGGAGTTCCAAGGATGAGTTGGCAACGCACAAAGAAGCCCTTCCTTTGTATCCAAGGCTGCCACCTGCTGCTTTCAGTATACCCCACCTCATTTCTTTTGTTGGAAGAGACAGTGAAAAATGGTTTCTGGGTCACCTTTTGCATGCTACCCTCATTCTTACTTTTGTCATCTCCTCAAAATACTGTCTATTTTTTTTTCCAAAGCAGTTTCTGCTGCCCAAAACAATAGTGCTCTTATGACTTCATCACTTCATGGAGCTTTCAGTGAAATTTATTTTTAATAGATTCCAGCAGTCTCTGAACAATGCTAAACTTGGATTTGAATGCTCTCCCATTGGATGGGCAACGCAAGTTCAGGAACACAGGTGTTGCCTCTTTCATTTTCTTCTTAATCTTTTGAGAAAATGGTGTCTAAAATGCCTGTTCTCTCTTCAGTCTTTGTAGGTGTAGGTTTTGCAGGCTTTCATTGTTTTATATGACTTTTCATTAATTATATCGTGTAAAGGTCTTGCAGCCCTGCATCGCTTTCTCCCAGGAACACAATGAAATAACGTGATTTTTAGAAGTGTAACATTCTTTAGATAGGCACACACAAACAGTGAGAATAGAGGTGCCTATTCTAGCCACACTGAAAATTCGGTCAGACAATTTTAATTATATTTTATCAACAGCAGTGGTAACATGTCAGGAACATCCTATTATGATTAATTATATTTACATACTATTAATACATATTAATGTTTATCTCCACATTTTGCACAACACAATAAGATGGAAGGAGAATGCTTGATGGTGTGATCTGTGATGGTATATATGTATTATCATTATGAATATGAGATGCTTTTATTGTTGCCAAATAGCATAGGCCAAACAAATGCCAAGAAAACATTTATGGCTCAGTATGCCATCAGTTATCCTTGATACACTTAATATGTGCTGGGAGGGCAGAACTGTTAATCAGGCAGTAATAGCTTGGTGTCCAAGTGTGAAGGCAAAAGGCCAAAAGGTGCATGAGAAAAGCAATTTATGCTCTAACTCCCCATCTGTCACATACACATCCCCACAGTCTTCTGCATGTGCAAGATAGGTCGCAGTCAGAGACGCTTTTATGTGAATTTACTTGGAAATACATGTTACCATACCTGCTCACATTCTGGGCTTGAGTCACCCACCTGTCTGGCACCACTTTTTCAACAGAGCCTCCTCTAGAAAGAGCAATAAGCAGCTGTGCTGGTGTAAAGCTGGAGTGGGAACACGTAGTTCTGACCCCTGTTGGCACCTCTGAACTGCCTGGGGCTCTCGGCTGCTTCACTCTGTTTGAGTTCCTAAACCAAACCGAGCTGTGCAGCCCTGAGCACAGCCCCTTGTATTCAATCGGGGTTTATTAGATTTTTTTTTTCATTTAGACATGGTCTGCTAGGAAAAGGAGTTTCATTGATGTAATTTAGGCCTGGTTTCAGAACATCTTACCTGTAATAATTACATTGTTAAATACAGAGTAAACCACTAACATAGACGGTGCCCTCATACAAAATGAGACTTCACATACAACTTAACACGAATTCTCAGATATTCTTCACAGATTTACTTATCCTATTCTTACTTGTATACTATGGATGAAGTGATAGTCAGCAATTATACTTAATAAAACCCTATGATATGATGAAACAGAAATCTTATTGAGTCTTGAGTGGTCTAGTAATTTTAATCTGTTCCAAACATTGCACCAGCAGAGACACTGCTGTGAACATTATTTTTCATCCCCACCAGAACTGGGTTAATGTATTTATTTTGGACATGAATGGATGCCATATAAGCACCATTGGTATTGCTGAGACTGAAAGACAAAGTCAAGTTTAGGCATCACAGCTCAGAGAGGAAGTGACAAATTGAAGAGGATCCAGTTAAGGATTATACAGAGGTCAGAAAACATGAGTTCCTGTCAAATATTGAAGAGACTGCATTTGCACAGCCTCAAAAAGAGAAGATTAGAGAAAGGAAAATAGTCTCTCAAGCTATAAGGAGTTATTATAAGAGGACAGTGTTCCATTGCTCTTCATGTCTACCAAAGATAGAACAAGAAAAAAAGATCAGTTTAATTTGCAATAAATATTTATCTTAAGTATTAGGGAAGAAACTGAGCGATAAGATTGTGAAGCACTGGAACAGAGAGATTAGGGACGTTGTGAAAAGCCCTCAGCAGAAACCTTTGAGAATAGATGTCAGGATGGACTAGATATACGTGCACTTTCTTCATTTGAGGAGGTGAACCAGATCAGTAGTTCCCTAAATAAGAAACATTCCCCCAGGGATGGTGTGGCTGTAATGAGGCAGAGGGCGGTGTGTTGCTGAAGAGGCACTGGGAGTGGAACAGAAAGCGCAGCAAGGAGGTGGGAATTTGGTGTGAAAATGGAGTGAGCAAGGAACAAGAGTGAGCATCACAGATCATGGGAGCAAAAGAAGCTTATGATAGTCAAGAACTGCTGAGTTAAACCATGGCCTCCCAGTCACCTGTTCTTTGGATCACATCCCAGAGGGAGGACACCACTGAGAGGTGACAGCCTTTCCTACTCAACCTCCTCACCCTATTCTTGCTTGCTGCACTGCTCACTTCTTCCCCTGCATGGTCTTCTTAGTGCCTGCCATCTTTCAGTGCTGTCTTTGCCATCGTCTTCTCCCAAATGCATCTCCCTTGTTGGCTTCCCAGGTGGTCCCACCTGGACCTGTCCTGTAAAACCAGCCTGTTGGAGAACTGCTGCACAGGAGTGCAAGAAACAAAAAACGGAAATCCCCGTCAGTTTTGTATTTCTAGGATTATATCTTATGTGTCTCTCCTTTGTGTTGTCTTAGATTTCTTTCTCTTGTGACTTTTTACTGTGTTATGTGTTTTTCAAATAAACTTTCTCAGGCTTTTTCCTATTATGAATGTTGTAAGTCTAAAATACTAATGCACTTTTTTTTTTTTTTTTTAATAACAGAACTTGATAAAAAAACAAGTGCCTCAAAGCCTCTGTGAGCCTCTCTGTCCAAGACACCAGTTCTCATTCCTTCCTGGTATGGTATTTGTTCCTAATCTATAGTCTTTGTACCAATATGCTGATTTTTGAAAAATGTCATCGCTATCAACACTTAATCTGATTTTGACAGGAAATTGCACATTATCTCTATTTTACTTTGTCCAAATAACAATATTTTTCCTGCTCATAAATGAATGAATTCACACTTCCCTCAGATTTTTTTACGTGTTTTAGAATGTAACTGCCTTTGATCATGTAATTGCTTTTAATTTACAGACATAAGCCTTTGAGACAGAAAAAATCTATTAATCAGATGCTGAACCCAAGTATAAAATATGTAGATATTGATGTATATACATAAACTTATGACTTTTTACTGTTTTTCTATTTGCTTTTTTCCTTCTAGAGGATGCCTCCTTACTGACAGAGGAGCTGATAGATATATAATGAGTACAGGAAGATCCTTGAGGAGACATGCAACAAAGTAGGAATTTCAGTAGGGATTTTGTCATTAAAATGGGAGCACAGTGTTGCAGTACAAATATCTGAGAGCTCTCAGGTTTTTTATGACTGAAACGTGGCTTCAATGTGTGTTACATGTTTTTATCAAAAATAGATGGTGTTGTTGAAATAAATTAAAAAAAAAAAAAAGAAAAAGAGAGTAGAATAGAAAGTTCATACTTTGTGCCCCTAATGTCCTCCAAAGTGTCAAGATCCTCCCATTAAGATATTAAACATCATTTATGCCTACAGAATGGGAATCCAAGACACTCAATAGCTTGTAAGGTCAGGTTCCAAACGTGTCCAGAGAGTTTTCTTTAAAGCCCATATAGTTGTTCCTTTCAGAAAAACTTATTCATAGGACTACCAGTGATTTTATCATGTGTGCTCAACGCTTGGGGTTCAGCTGTAGCTTAGAACAGATCCAGCCTGGGTGGCACACTGTGGTGCAGCTTTGATCTAATCTATAATACAGGTTGGACCCAAAACACAGTTAAGTTTGTTTAAAGTGTGATTGGGTACACTCATGAAACTGTTGGAAGCCTGTACAATCAAAGCATTCAAAATGTTATTAACTGTCTCAAGTGTAACATCAGTCTATATTCACAGCTGAAACAACTGTATTTAGCAATGAAAGTGCATCTGGTGAAATACCTTTACATCACATTTTCAGAACTGAAACCAAAACTCCCCTTTCAGCAAGGCCTGTGGGCAGAGAAGAGCTGTCTGAGATTCAACAAAGGCAAATGCAGGGTCCTGCATCAGGGGAGGAATAAAGCCAGGCACCAGGCCAAACTGCTGGAAAGCAGCTCTGTGGAGAAGGACCTTGGGGTCCTGGTGGACAACAAACTGCCCAGGAGCCAGCTGTGTGCCCTGGTGGCCAAGAAGGCCAGTGGTATCCTGTGGGCCCTTAGGAAGAGCATTGCCAGCAGCTGAAAGGAGGTGATCCTGCCCCCTCTTCTCAGCCCTGGTCAGGCCACATCTGGAGTGCTGTGTCCCGTTCTGGGCTCCTCAGACATGGAGCTCCTGGAGTAGGTGCAGTAGAGGGCTATGAAGACAGTTAAGGGACTGGAGCATCTCTCATATGAGGAAAGGCTGAGGGAGCAGGGCCTGTCCAGCTTTGAAAAGAGACAACTGAGAGGGGACCTCATCAATGCTGGTAAGTATCTGAAGGGAGGGTGTCAAGAGGATGGATCCAGGCTCTTCTCAGTTATGCCAAGCAATAGGACAAGAGGCAATGGGCAGAAACTGATGCCCAGGAAATTCCACCTGAGCATGAAGAAGAACTTCTTTACTGTGCATGTGACCAAGAACTGGAACAGGTTGCCCAGAGAGGCTATGGAATCTCCCTCACTGGAGATACTCAAGAACCATCTGGACACAATTCTGTGCCATGTGTTCTGGGGTGACCTGCTTGAGCAGGGAGGTTGGATTAGATGACCCACTGTGGTCCCTTTCAGCCTGACCCATCCTATGATTCTGTGTTTTATACCATCAAGGTAAAGTAAAATTCTGCTTAGGTTCTTTCTGATAAATAATCTGAAGCGCTGAGTTTGGGCTGTGTGTGGAGAATTTCCCATTTTGAGCTGGTGAAATTCTGGCAGTGGGTTCCCCACATGACCTGCAGCATCTGACTCCTGTGGTCTTCACAGTCCTCAGAGGGCATTTGCCAGCTGCCATCACTGCTGAACTGAAGAAGAGTTAGAGAACAGAAGATGGCAGTTATCACATTGCAAAATGTACATAAAACCAGGATTGGAACCTTTGAATTTTATTTAGGGAAACTGATGCAAGCTTTCATAATTTCATGTATTAGAAAACCCGTTCTTTTACACTGTATAAACAGAGCTTTGTGACCCCCACTGCCAACCATTCCTTCCTTTAAATGGAGCTTTGCAGATTCAGAGTTGGAAGCAAGGTCCATTAGACCTGTAATCAGTTTTTATGACAGTCTTTGAGCAAGCAATAGCTTTTGCCACAGTAATAACTCAATTCACAGTTTTCTTCAGGATTGCAATCTGAGTAACTGGTTGACATGTGACAATAGGATTTCTCCCTGTTAAGGAATGGTAAAAATCATTAACCAGTTCTTATTAGACTATTTTTGATCAAAATGCTGTATGCATGCAAAGCGGTTACAATAATTTTATTATTTTATTTAGAGGTTTTTATTGTCTGAACACCAAGCTTATCATAACAATGTTAATTCAGAGTGCTTTTGCAAGGCTGAGAAGTTGTGTAGAAATGTTCCTACATGCAATTATGCACACACATAGGCATACAAATCTCTTTACTAGAGTGTTAAAAAGAGCTGAACATTTCATGAAAACCAGGAAGAGAAACAGAACTATGAATTAAATATAAAAAACATCTGTATTGTTTACCCCTTAAGTTTATCCCTTTTATTTTGATGCTAATGATATGAAATAAGGAAAACATGATACAACCAACACAATTTTGTAAATAATATATTAAAAATCACATATATATAAAAATAATATATTAAAAATTAGCTTTTCTAATCTTGAGAAGTATAGCATGACTGCTTGTAAGAGATTACTATTCTTAGATATTTGGAATTTCTTTTAGCAGAATATTGTTGAAAGAAATGGCATATTTGAATTTGGCCTTCATAGTAAAAAAGAATTATAACGTGAACCATGCAGACATTCTAGAAAAGACAATTATCAATTTGTCAAGGACAAGTTTCGAAATTCTTAAGGGCTTTTAACCTCACGTACATTTTTGCAGCAACTGAACATTCTGTATATGTGTCCCAAAAGTTATTGTGTAGTCATGTTAAATAGCATCCATGATCGTCACTAGTTTTTGCCAGTCTTAACTTGTTACTACTTGATAACTCTTGTATGCTTGTGAAAAAATGGTCATGAATCAATCATCTAAAGCATTAACTCTTCCACAATTTTTAACAATACTTTTTTGTCATAAAGCTTTTAATAAAAATAAGGGGAAATGTAACATCCTATAATAATGTAAATGTGAGTTCTGTTCTTCAAAGGCAGGAGGTTTTGGGAGCAAATCATATTTATCGAGCTGAATGTACCCACCTCCCATCCCAGTAACTATCTGTCTGATGAGTAACTCTCAGTCTAGCAGAGTGCAGGCGTTGCTCTGCTCCTTACAGACTTCTTTCAGTGGGAAAATTATGGCTCTGCTTCCCCCTTCAAATTAATGGGGCAAGGAGGTTAGGCAGGATGTTGATCCATACATTATACTTAGGACAGGATCCTGGAATAAACCTCTCAGCTGTCAGAAACTGTCAGAGCTCCATGGGTCAGGGCAGGCCTCGGTGTAACACCTCACATGCTCCAGCTGAAAGCTCAGTGCTCACTGCTACGTGGCTGCAGTATCGACCCACTGCTACTTCAGAAGAAAAATCACCACTTTCTGAATTACCAGCGCTTTCCCAACATCTTTCCTTTGGTGATCTCTTGTAAGACCTAGTCCTGCTTATAAGAACTATTGAGATCAGAGCTCGAATTAGTATAATAGAACTTTTGTCTCTTTACATGAAAGGTGCTCTAATTCCTTTCAGGGGCTCCTCATAGGGAACAGTATTATTCTCCACTCTGCCTCGTTCTTTATCATTGCAATCCTTCCTCCAAGTTTTCCCAGAAAGCATCTAATCCCCTGACCCTTAAGACTTTGCAATCAGAAGAGAGGACTCAGGAGAGAGTAAGAATTGCAGTTACAAGTTTTTCTGTGCTCTGAGAAATCACAGGCATAGTTGACTTTAATGAAGTTAGGAAAGCAGGCAAATCAATTTAGCCTATAATGCCAATTGTCTGATTCAAACAAAAGACTTGTCAAACATATTATATAGCAGGCAAATCTGCTAATAGTCCTGAACTGAATAGTGATGTCTCTAAAATCTACATTTTGTGGGTGCCTAAGGTATGCAATGCTGGCAATTAAGATTGCTTTTTGAGTAGGGTTCTGGTAGGTTTCACTGTGGATGTATCAGATGGTATTGGCTAACAATTCATAACAGAGAGGAAGGATTCTGTTTATAATTATGAAAAGCATGTTTTCTGACCATTAATAGGGTATATCTTGTTAATTATGATGATATATAAGGTATTTCACCTATGATGCCATTTAGAAAATTAATGTTTGAGTCACAGAAAGGTCATTGCCATTCTGGAAGGAATCCATTCATCTCTAAATAGGCCATCCAAATACAGACTAAGAAATACACTATATATAATTACCTAGAAATAGATGGAATAAATAAGATTGGTGATAGGTATTACTAAAGCCACCCTTCAGTTTCCTACTAGGAAAAGGTAGATCGTAACTGCAAGAAACAATAATATACCTGTAAAAATGCAAGAAATAGGTTAAAGTCTTGAGTAGTTATGTGAGGTTCAGCTATTACACATGAGGTGAGAGCTCATCAGCCTTCAGAAGTGGTGTACATCAAGGACTTTGTCCTGAGATTTGATCAGGTATTTCTGAAGGCAGCTCCTACAAAGAAGAGAAAGAGGACTTCTTGGGGTTTTTTTAACAAACCTGTGTCTTGTTTGACAACATAACTTCATAGTATCTCCATATTTGCCACACAAATGCTTACAAGTAGATAGAATGCATGTGCTGCCTTTGAAGATAAACATCTTAACGAATATTTCCACGTGTGAGTCCTTTTGGATGCAGGCATATCACTGAAGAGTGATGCTGAGCACAGAGGAGCCCAGGAGCTGTGATGGAAATAGACTTCTCTTTCTAAACTTTGAAGGTTTAGGTTTTAAAAGTACAGAATAAAAGCTCAGAATGGCTGTTGGTGAAGTGAGCTCTCGAGCAGAGGGGGAGAAAGAGATTCCTTTAATTGAAAGCCTGCTGTTTAATCTTAACTCATCTTTGGGATGGACAAAGTGAGCCCCAAATTCATAGCCACTTGCTGCAGTGCTGGCTTGGAGGGATTCATCTCAGTAGGTGAGAAGGCAATCGAGTAACTCCAATCCCCTGTCCCCATCCCTGCCAAATGAGTAGGTTTGTTTCACCAACGTTAACAATCAAGGTATATGTTTGTTTTGTTACCCTATGAAAGGCAGACAGCCAACTTTCCAGCACAGCTGACCTCTGTGAGATGGGAAGTGCTGGCCATGACCCTGCCTCTCTGGGAGCTGAG